TTCGACGCGTAGAAATTCGGCGCGTGGAAATTCGGCGCGTGGAAATTCGACGCGTAGAAATTTGGCGCGTGAAAATTCGACGCGTGGAAATTCGGCGCGTGAAAATTCGGCGCGTGGAAATTCGGCGCGCAGAAATTCAGAGCATGGAAATTCGGCGCGTAGAAATTTGGTGCGTAGAAATTCGGCGCGTGGAAATTCGGCGCGTAGAAATTCGGTGCGTGGAAATTCGACGCGTAGAAATTCGGCGCGTGAAAATTCGGCGCGTGGAAATTCGACGCGTGGAAATTCGGCTCTAATGCCGCAATTAGAGATATTTTTGCGAAGTGGGATACTTTAGGGGTCGCAAATTCCAAAATTGGGAGATTGGAAAATTAAACATTTGAAGAAGATAAGAAGTCATGTAATTTAAACGTGACACGTGGATTAATAATACATACGTTGATACATTGCGAGAAAGATAAATTTGGAGCAATAGGATCCATAGGTCATGAACCTTAACCCAAGAGTCTTGTAAGTTCGAATTTCTTTCGAAAGGTTTCGAGCGCAGCCAATTACATCCGTTTTCGGTTTCCGGGACGCCCAAAGTCGCGCGCGGATTTATCAAAAGCCGTCGTGAAACCGATCGACGGGAGCTAACGAGGTCGTCGAGACTCGCCACCGCTTCGGATATCCTTTGGCCGTGCTCCAATTCGATTAATTATGAAACAGGTACGCCTCTCTCTCAACAACCTGGCTGGCATCCTTTCGGTCCCTTTTAATTGGACGTTTCGGATCGGTTGCGGCTCGCGAAATCGTCTCGACTTCTCCGTGGACTGGCACTCGTCACGCGTCGGTGTTAAACTGACTCGCGATTTAAAACGTTCTTCGCGGCACGATACACGAACTCTTTGCAATTAAATTCTAAAGAAAACCTTTATTCAATTGTACCAAAGAGACGTACATATATCAAGAAGTGTATCAAGAAGGGTATCAAGAAGTGTATTAACACGTTGACTGCCACGTCATCCATATATGGGTGACACTTAAGTTGCGAAACTGATCTAACATGAGTATTATTAAAAATTTGTTTGCTTTCCTCATAAAAAATTCTTGCATTAATTATATGCATCTATGGAAAAGAAATGTAATAAGATATTGTAAAAAATATTTGGTAAAATTTATTAAAAATTAAAACACTACTTGATGCAATTTTCAATTGTTTCAATGTGGCAGTCAATGTGTTAAAGAGACAGTAGTATTTCCCATCATTAAGGTACATCTTTTATTCGTGAATTTTCCTTCAAGAATTTTTACCCAAAATGTTAACCCTTAAATGCATGATTTTCTAATTTTACCAAAAGTTATCAACTAACAAAATACCTTGAAAGCGGTTGATTCAAATTAAAACGAACAGATGTATTGTGTATTTGATTGGTACGTGGCATATCTGCAACACTACTCATTGCAGGTTTCCTACATTTTGTATATTATTTATAAGATTAAAACTGGTATGTTGCATTTATACAACTATATGCATTTAAAGGTTAAGTTGTGACAATTTACTTTGACTATGGTTAGCCATATTGAGAAATATTCAGCTTGCGTTTCGTCAACATTCGTATAAAGCGCGCACAAAGAGACGTAATAAACGTTCAGTCGATAAGTAGCAGCTTAATCCCGGAAGAGGGTCGATCTTGATTTAACCGATGAAGAAGAAAAAGAAGAAGAAGAGTATAAGACGAACCGACAGCAGATAAATTGCTCGATTGCCGTCCGTTTACTCGGTCCGAATTTAATCTTGCTTATTTTCCTTGCATAATTGGAACACGGCCTCCCACCGCTTCCCTGTCTTTTTCCATTTATCGAACGATGATCCGCATGATCGGCCCGCCTATCGTCAACGTTGGATGCACGCGATTGACCCGTTAAAGAATCGCTCGTTCCCGTTGCTAGAAATCATTCCTCGCGAGATCAAAAACGCAAGGATTATCCGTGGAAACTAAAAGAGGACGATCGAACGATATTTTCGTCTTCGAGAACTCGGTCAACGATACAGAGATCCCGTTACAATTGAAGTTGTCTCTCTCGATGGAAATTTTTTTTTACGAAATGTCTTGGAAGAAATAATAATCTTTGCTAAACATTGCATGGAATTTCGATTAAAATTCTTCAACGTACGGAATCGTGTTTGCGTCTCGAAGATATTATTCTTCCTTTGCTTCTGTTCTTTTGAAACGGAAAGAAATCTTGCAGGCAGACATTTTGTCGATAAAACCAAAATATTCCGCGTTCTACTTCTTTTCGGATCGAGGAGGTACTCTGATTAATGCAAATTTCGAAACTTTCAAGTCTCTGCAGAGCTGAAAATTATCTAATCTTCCAACTTCCAAATCGCAACATATTCCGCAAATTCTTCTAACCTTTAGACTTCTATATCTTCGAATTTACTGAAATACATCGTCTCCCGTTAAGTAAGGTACAAAAATAGGTAAGCATCCAGCCACGAGAGGATTAGAGGCAACTTCAATTCCATCGGGAGCAATTCGCGTCACCGTGATGGTTCTTAATTCCCAAGTTCTTGAACGTTTCGAAGGAACGATTAATCGGAGTCCAGGTGACGGACAGGACGAATGTGTTCCACGGTTACGCGGATAACTGGTCGTGTTCCGTTCGAACGGTTTCACCGGAGGTACCCATCGGCCTCCGTCCACACATCCATACACACATTCGGGTGGAACGGGAAGGATTCGAAAGAATGGCTTTGCAACGGACGGATCGAAATTCGAAGCCGATTTACGGGGTCGTATAATAACAATAACGGATAATCGAACCGTGGTTGGCCATCGGCCGTCCCGACGCCGGCAAATTGACAAATACGCTCGGCAAGGAGAGGCTATCGGAAAACCAGCGTCCGAACAGTGAAACTGGGCGCCCGGAAGAACAATGACGGACGATGATGACCCGCCTATTTACTGCCTAGCTCGATTTTCACGCGATCATTCGCTACGAAACAGTTGAAACCTGTCTCGCTAGGCTCCGTCGTCAACTGGGATGGAATCTTTTCAATTCGTGTGATCTATGTACTTTATCAAAATGAGCTGAACATCTTTCAGCTTCTGTATTATAAAATTCGTATTGTGATCTCCTTTATTATTACAAAAATTATTGGGTTATCCCTTTGCGCTCGAGAGGTGACTCTCAGTCGCCATTTTATTTAATACAATAATTTGAAACAAGCATTTTTTAACTGATTCTATAATATGACACGTGTGATGTATAAACATAGTGAAACAAAGAATAATGGAAATTATTAGTAGAAAAATAATAACCTCAAAAGAATTTATTTAACTCTCTAAGTTTTAAAGTTGCTGTTTGTAAACAGTCAAATTATCTTCGAGTGCAAAGGGTTAAATATATAAATGTATTTATGAGAGTCCCGTTCAACCCCTTCCCGTGTCATTCATTTATCAGATGCGTCAGTCAAGACTAACTATTCAGGACTCTAACAAAACGAGCAAAGAAAATTAAAATGTTCTAAGTATTTTATATTCAAGGATCCTTGATAACGCAACTTATACTTGGATCTAAATTTCATGTTGAAGAGTTTTCAAAATTTGAGTAAGGTTTGTCACATCTGAGCTGTGAGTGCATCACGAGTGAGACTCGAGAAGAGGTTAAAGAAAGAGTCTTAATGTTTAACAGAAGGAACTCCAACAATTTTATGAAGTATAAAAGGCGTTCAGCTTCTAAATTGTCCCACTTAAGACCTAATATCCAACGAATAAGGTAGACAAAAATAATTAATGAAGACTTGTGAAGATTTTAAGGATAATCTAAGTGAAACACCTTGTATAAGATGAACGCCGAAATAATATTGATTCCATCCAAGTCGTGGACGAAGAAACACTCTCTTTTTAAAGCTCCATTTTCGTGTCTCCCCTTAATCAAGCATTCCATAAAGAACGTTCGAAGGGGGCTGATGCAAAGAGAGGAGAGCGCCGTTTATATTAGCCCGAGAAATTATCGTCGGCGCAAAGGAACATGTTCTCAATTAACGCAGCGTCAAAGGCTTCGTTTCGAAATTCGACGAACGAAACGTCTCGTCGAAACTCGATTGAACTCTGCCACCCTCTCTAGCCTCTAGCTCCTATCGTTTAACCCTTTCGCTTAGAAAAGCGTATACATACGCTCTCCTTTGCAAACGGCGTACATATGCGCTCTCGATAAGACTGTTCATTCTGACGTATCGTTAACGCGAGTCTGATTTCGAAATTATATGTTATGGCGGATGTATCGTGTGGTGAATGTCGATGGTGAGAGATGAGAATCGTGTACGAATTGTAACCTTGTAGCCTGCATACAAAGTTCGAAGAATGCACTGGAGATTCGTGTGATTTTGATGAACGGATGGAGAGAAAATCGGCGGGAGAAGTGTGAAGAATATTCACAATGAATACCTCGTATCTGCGCGATCGGTAATGCAAGATGCAGCGTGCGCACTCGAGTTGCATTTGCGAAATTTCAAATTTTGTTTCAATAAAAAATTATAAAAAGGTAGGTTTATGAAGTTGTTGGATGATCAAATCATTATACAGTAGCCACATTTATTAACATTGGTCCAATTAAAATAATTTTAATTTTCATTATTCGTCGAGTGTCCAAAATACGAAAAGTAGCATCAATCTTGTTCAATATTTCTATAAATAAACAGCTATGTAAGTGCATCTTGCATCACCCGATCGTGCAAATAAAGCAAACGATTAGTGACCAGAAATCGAACCTCCGTGATAATGAGTCCACTGACACCCCTATTTAACATAGAATCTAAGCCCACATAGATGAAAAACTGACGAGAGCTACCTGATGAAGGATTCACAGGGATGATGAGAAAGAAATGAGTTTCGCGAAGAAAGCGACATGGCGTCCTATTCTAAGCGACTAAATCACGGGGCGAGTCCCGGGGGTTTGTTCGTGGCGTGAGATCAACTCAAGACTCATGCGATGGTGCGATTATCTACACGTTGCCAGGAACGTCGCATTCGTCGAGTCGTGTTCGTCAAATATTGTCGCTACGTGACGCGTTTTTCGTCGGGCTAAAGAGCCGAGGATTTGCACGCGACAACAATGGTGTGCGTCGTGGAACGTGTCGTAACGAATGGTAATGGAGAGTAATCCAAGCGCGGAAGCTTTGAAGCTCGAGATTTTCGGGTGTATCGAGCAAAAGAGGTTTCTTCGTCGCAAAGTAAAAAAAGAATGGACAGAAATGAAATGATGGGGAATCGATGAAAGTTTGTACACGTGGGTCTTCCGATATTTTTTTTAATCGACCGATATTCGACGTGGTTACAGTACCGCTCAAAATTATTCGAACGATGTGGTTCTGAGAGTTAATTGTTTCTGTTGATTGCTTAGTATACAAGTATTGTAGAAACTTGATATTTATCTTGCAAGTTTGCGGATGTTTAAAGCCCCTAATTGAGGAAAATATCGAGATCAAAAGATTCTGATAGTACTTTGAAACTGAATTTAAATAGGAATAACAATGAATTCGAATCATCCTCAATTTCATCATAAAAAGATGTTAAGCATTCAACTATAAAATCAAAAATGTTACAAAATATTCGCTAATTCCGAAACCTCTTCTGCTAGAACATCGATTACAGGCCTTCGACAGGGACTGGAGCATCTGAAGTAAAAAATGTAGCTTATCTATATAAATGTATCTGAAATTAACACGTTCGAATAGTTTTGAGCGATACTGTATGTGCACACGTTCACGTATTAACCCCTTCGTTAAGTGTGTCGAAATCAAGGTGGAAGAAAGCCTCTAAAGAAGGTTGCATCTACTCGTGTCTGGTGCTACGTCTACTTGGAATAACTATACGCAGAACGGAAATCGAACACAAATTTGCTGCACGCGAATTCGCGTGGTGGTGACGAACGAAAGGGTTAAATCGACGCGTGGCTAAACACTACTCTAATCACACGAACCAATCGGATCAGGCACTAACAGACCACGGTATTTAGCCTTCTATGCTGTCACTAATGAGAACTAAAGCTATGGAAAAAAAGCAAGGAACGAAGAAGAATTGAACCGTATTCCACTTTGGACGACAGAGACCCGCCATGATTTAAGCGGCTGCGAGAAAAATCTGGCCGCGACGCGATACACGAAAAGCGTTCTAATTATGCATTTAAGTATTTGCTTGTTGATTAGGAGAGCGACAGAGACCCCTTTTACTCGATCACCGGCTAATTTCGTTTCCTAGTTTTCTATACCAGGCATGACCAAGTGTAAGTCACCTGGTACCCTCATTATATTTTGGATTAATTTCAAATTTACAAATTTTTGAGATTAGTGTTTTGAGAAAGGGGGTTTGGCTGCAAGGATTTAGTTAGGGATGTAGGGATGCAGAGTTTCATGATTTGGGGATTTGGAGGGAGGACTTAAGGCTGCAAGGATTTAGTTAGGGATGTAGGGATGCAGAGTTTCGTGATTTGGAGATTTAGGGATTTGGAGGGTTAGGAACTTGAGGACCTGGGAATTTGGAGGGTTAGGAACTTGAGGACCTGGGAATTTGGAGAGTTAGGGACTTCAGGACTTGGGAATTTGGAGAGTTAGGGACTTCAGGACTTGGGAGTTTGGAGAGTTAGGCACTTGAGGACTTGGGAATTTGGAGAGTTAGGGACTTGAGGACTTGGGAATTTGGAGAGTTAGGGACTTGAGGACTTGGGAATTTGGAGAGTTAGGGACTTGAGGACTTGGGAATTTGGAGAGTTAGGCACTTGAGGACTTGAGAATTTAGAGAGTTAGGGCCTTCAGGACTTGGGAATTTGGAGAGTTAGGCACTTGAAGACTTGGGAATTTGGAGAGTTAGGCACTTCAAGACATGGGAATTTGGAGAGTTAGGCACTCGAGGACTTGGAAACTCAGAGATTTAGAGATTCAGGAATTTCGAAATTTGAGGATTTGGAAATTTACAGACGTAGAAAGTTTGAAGTTTGGAACTTGAGGATTTAAGGGATTGAAAGTTATGGAAACTCTAGAATTTAGGGATCCGGAAATTTGAGAGGTTGCTAAGTTAGAAATGTTAACATTTTAGTAACTGAAGATTTGAGACTCATTAGAGATTTGCAAATCTGAGATCTTGTGAACATAAGAAATAAACTTCTTATAGCATCAACCTATGCAACCCAAAATCCTGTTCAACCTAAAAAACAGCAAAGTACCTACTATCCAGCATAGCTCAGAAAAGTATCGCATAAGCACTTGGTCATGCCTGTTCTAACGAAGCGACCGCCTGCCTGCATCACTCGAAGGCACCTCGAATCGAATTCTATCCTATTCGACCAGCAGATTTGGTCGAGTTTGAGGAGTGTCGGGCCCGTACCTTGGGCAGGTCGCCCCTGTTGCTGTCCTCACTGCTCGTGAACGTGCTAGAGGTGTCTATTCCGGAGTCTTTGGTCGCGCTGTCTTGGCTACCCTGCCGATCGGCCTCCCAAGACCAATCCTCCTGAGGGCCGCCGACATTGGTCCCACCGTCAAATCGCACTGTCTTTTTCCCCCTTCTCTCCGTGAACCTGATGGACACGCCACATACACAGAGATACGAGAGAGAGACACGTTTCTGTACCGTGTGTTTGCGATGCTATGTAAACGTGTTTGTGGTGGTGTACTTTCTCGAATGTGTTCCTTTATGCTTCTCTCTGTGCCACGCTTCTTCGCACCTTCTCGATCACGAGCCAGCAATGGCTAACCCGAGATATCGGAGGTGTGGATCGTTTCACGTGATCGTTTCTTTGACAATGTTTGTAATTCTCATGAAATCGACAAGAAAATTAGTAACATTTTCACAAGCTTTTCACTTTTAAACAGCACACTATTTCAACAATTGTTAGCAGGAAGCTTATTCTGTTTATTCTGAAGGTAAACTGTCAATCATTGCTACATCTTCAATTGCAGAGGCAAGTACTCTATAAGCACTTTGCAAAAGTTCATCATAAAATTTAATCACGTTACGTTACTGCAAAATGTATCTTCCAATATAAAATTTAATTAGTCCATATCGACGAGCACATATTAAATAAAATACAAACATTGTCTAGGAAATCTTCATCAGCGTCAAACGACCTCGAAGACCATCCGACAAAATGGCGACTATGTTCGTAAAAATAAAAAAAAACCGACGTTAGAAATTTCGTTCGCAATAATCGAAGCCCCAAGATCCGGCGCGAACAGAAACGAGAAAAAAACAAGACAGAAAGAAGATAAATATTGAACGAACGCACGATCGCCAATTTTCACACGCACCTCCGACTGTCGGCGCGCCATTCGTCGCCGCTCCTTCGGAAGCTCCGTCTGACGAGAGTGCTTTCTTCTTTTCGCGGCTCTCGCGGTGGATGATGACCGTTATACTCGATGGTCATCGCACTCGTGTTGTGATGCCCGTTGTGGGGTCCGTTGTGCCTACGTCCACTGCCGGACATTGACATCGGACCTCCCGTATGGTGGTAGTACCCCTTCCCTACAGTAGATCCAAAACGTTTCGTTTGCTCTCTCTCTCTTTCTCTCCCTTTCAGCTATCTAGCCGATCCTTAACTCTAAACCAGTGGTGACAGTACGAATAGTGTACACCTGCGAGCAGTGATGGGTTGGATTGTTTGGAAATTTTAGATTTGAGGATTTGGGGATTGAGAATTTAGAGATTTAAGGGATTTGGAGATTTAAGGATTCAGAGATTTGGAGATTTTAAGATTGGTGAATTTGAGATTTTGCAGAATTGTGGATCGAGTCATTTGGAAATTTGAAGATTAGGAAGTTAAATTTGAAGGTAGTATGGTAAAATCAGCTTAGGGACTTAAAGGATTAGATGTCAAAAAATTTCAGACTTCGGAGTTTGGAAATCCGAAGCTAATTTAATAATTTTCCAAATCTCCGAAAGTGAAATCTTCAAGAACTCGCCATCACTGTACGCACCGTGCACCCAGCCTCCGTGCACCACTGATCTAAACCATAATTCCCTTTAAGTCACATGTCTATAATATTATCCTTCCAACGCACATGACACTTTCCTATTTTCCCTAAATTATCTGCTCTAGTCCCGGAAGAACTGTTGAAAAAACTCACGCCCTACAACGTCTTATCACAGTCTCCTGCAACCTATCGATCGCCAACTCTCTCCCATCTACACCGGAAGTAGTGTGCGTTGAGTGTACTGCGGGTAATACCTGTTCTCGAACGGGCTAAGACAGCGGTGCAGGCTTTGCCCCGTGGGGAGGAGTGCGAGGGACGGCGCTGGAGCGAACCGGAAGTCGGTCCAGACTCTCTCTGTCGCACCATCTACGCGCCATTGTAATGTGCAAAAGGGGTGTGTCTCTGTGTGTTGTATGTGTGTGTACGTAAGTGTGCGTGCACAATAGGCGATGCCACTTCACCAGTTATATTTTGACAGTTTTTCACATCGAAAGAAACATCGTCGATAGAAACGGTCCAAGTGCGAGAATTCGTGAGGGGGGTAGAAACGTCGATCGTTAAGGGGTTGACACACGCAGAAAACCTGCACATTCGCGCGACATCGCATACCGTCGGGACAGACATCGAAGCAACCGAATGTCGTGGATATGTCGGGAGTAATCTTTTGGTGAACGATACGTGTACGTGGCGTGAGTGAGGTGTTAACGATATACTTGTATACCTGTGCACGATTCGTAGCCGTCCAAAGTAGAACAAATAAAATCTGTTACAGCTCTGCCGACCGATCGCACAGAGTCATGATCATTCCATTCCGATCACGCGAATTTCGATTTGCCAAATGTCCTGGGACGAAAGAAAATTTTGGCGCAAAATTGTCGGTGATCAGGGACGACACGTGGTCGGCACACGTGTCCCTTGGCCAATCGTTCGCTCGTTTTCCGAACGTCGTTAGGCCAAATGAAAAAGTTGGATGACGAATCGAATTCTGAAAAAGACGTAAGGAAAAACGCGATTTCGCGACCGGTCGACAGATGACGTACACACACATGCACACGCATACGCAGAGATATACATATAATATATATATATATTTAGATAGATATATATATATGTGTATGCGTAAGGTTCATATATATATGTATATATGTATATATATAGATATATATAGCAGAAAACGAACTGCCGTATTTGCATTTGAGAAAATTAGTAGGTACCGCGAGAAACTGACGATTCATTCTGTCCACGGGCTTCTCCCTCGAGCTCCTGGAAGTCACCACCATGGGCGGCGGTTTATCCCCTAAAATGCGATCTCCCCTTAAGTCACACACGTTGTGTCCGATGCACGCTGGTTCGCTTATCGCTAAAGTTAGAAACAGAATAAAAGGGCTGTGACCCCCACCCTCATCGCACGATTTCGTTGCATTATCCTTACGGAGACACGCGATCGTTCGATAATTATCGTGGAATTTCTGGGTGTGTTTTGTGGGAACGATGATGCGTGTTTCGCAAGAGAAATTTCGCTACTTTTGGTTCGTTAAGGGTTGCTCTTTTAACGGGTTCTTGTCGTAACACACTGGCTATCTATATCAGTGATGGGCAAGTGCAACCAAGAACTCTAGGGGCACGGATGGGCATTTGATCAACAGTCAACTTTACAAATTTTAATTTTCAAATCTTTCAATTGCTATATTTCTTGTTTTACACTTTTATGAATTTCTACATTCTGTATTCCTGATCATTTACATTTCTAAGTCTGTAAGTCTTCGAGCAAATTTTTATTTCAATTTTTACAAATTTTCAAGTATGAAGTTTTCAAATTTCACTCTGTAAAGTTTGTAAATTTCCAAATGATACAAAGTTGAACAAAGTAACCTTCGTACCGTGTCCACCGTTACCCCATCGCGCACTTATCTGTCCACCACTGATCTATATGCTATATCGATCCGATGCAAAACAGAGATATTAGGGGTGGAAATAAAAAGAGGAAAGTAAAACAGATTGGTCACTGCTATAAAAACTGCGCTATGTAACAATCGAACACTGTGTTGTTGCTAATGGTAATCGTAATACATTTGCAGGCAGTGTCTGGTGTTCTCGCTACACGCAAGAAGTAAGTCGTCGTTTCGTAACGATACGCCCCGAGCTCGAGAATTCGATCTGGGTCGATTCTGTAAGGAGGAGGCTCGATGGAAGGAAAGAGAGAAAAGGGAGAGCCTCGTTCGTCGCTGCAAATCAGGTAAAAGATCACGCATCGTAAAACCGACAAATTGGCCATACGATCGCCACGCGAGACGCCCAGCGTCCCTTCTTACGTAACCGAACGATTCTGTCGGCGTTGCTCGTTCGCGACGATACAACGTCTCTGGATTTACGCACGATATTTACGACCTTTTTCGATATCACCGTCCAACTTCTACGTAGTAAAACGGTGCCCTTTTTTCTTCAAATATTTGCAATCTCGAATGAAACTTTTTTGTCTTATCAATTATACTGATCAGTAAGCGACGAGTAGATTCAGTCGGTGATTGGTCAGACTCAATTCGAAATAGAAGCGACAGCATGATAGACATAGTTGCGCAACGAACGAGGCTTTTAGGAACAGAAATTTCAAGCTCCATTAGCGAAAAATTGCAAACCCAACTGGTTTCTGACGAATCTTTTGACGAGACCATATGTTAAGGGAGTCTCGAAAGTTTCTGTGTCGTAGATGCGTGACGCGAAGAAACATGGTAGGAACAGGAAGGTTTTAATCTACGGAGAAGTCTCTCCGGGAACACGCGTCGCTCCTGAAAACGAATTAAAATCTGTTTAATAGAATTTTAACGTGAACGGAAACGGGAAGGGACTCGGACCGGACGGGAACTATCAAAGGGTAGGTAATCAAAGGCTCGATGAGAGGCCAAAGCGTGTGGCCGTGACAATTTATCCTTCGCCTCTCCCTTATCCTCGTCCGCCTGGGTATCCGGTGGACGTAGCTGCTCGGCCGTTTCTCTGCAAATCCTCGTTAAAGGGAAGTTGCGACCTGCGAGCGCGCGTAACGGACTTACCTCTCGAACTTCTACTAACTAATTCTCTAGTCTCTAATTGTATTGTGTGCATCTACGAATGGGAGCAACAACGCCGTCCGACCTAGCCGGTCACTTTCCTCTCTCTCTCTCTCCCTCTCTTCTCAATGAACGAACGAACGAGACCGTGTATCCGTACACGCTCGTGCGCCCCGCTCGTTGCTAAACTCGCGTACACCGCGAGCTCTGTCTCGCTAATTGCCACGCTGATCCTCTTAACAGTATAAATTCGCCCGGATGCGATTTGCATTCGATTATCTTGCTACTCGCGTTTATCTCGTGTCAGGATCAAGCCTGGACCGTGCGATCGACCGATGCTCTGCTCGTTTCCTTTATTAACATTTACGAGATAGGAACGTTTTTCGATAAAAACTGATACAGTTATCTTTAGGTATAGTGGACTATCTGCATTTTGCAATTTGGATATCTAAATTCTGGAATCTTTAGAGCTTGATATACTTTATTTTTAGAGGGCTCAGACCCTGCAACTTTCCTAGAATTTAAAATTCTTACACCCCAAAATTCATAGAAGTTTCTGCTCCTAACATTCTTACATTCCAAGGTGCCTAACTCTACAATGGATTGCTTCCAATTACCTTCAGGTGGTATACTGGTCTATCATTCTACAATTCTTTGAATATCTAAATCCTAGAATCTATAGATCTCGATATCCTTCATTTCCAGGAGTCTCAGACCCTGCGATATTCCTAGAATTTAACGTCCTTACTCCCTAAAATTCATAGAAGTTTCTGCTCCTAACATTTTTACATTCCAAGGTGCCTAACCCTACAATCCATAACTTCTACAATTCTTAAGCTAGAATCCAGTTTTCTCCTAGTGTCCCTCAGTGCTCAAATCCGAAAGTACGTAAATGACCTCCAATTCTAGAATTCCTAATTCCAGGGTCTCTATGGGTTCAATAAATGAAATCTGCATTCTCGAATTGCGCGTTAACAATTCCGCCTTTAAAAATTCTTATCGCGGTACTTCAAGTCTCTGTTGGCCAGTTCTTGTTCAAACTTTGCTCCTTGAATATTTGAACAGGTTGCTGATTGTACGAGTTACATTGCCTGTGAGAATATTCTTATTAATTTAAATTGTTAAAATTCGTCGAAAATTATGTCTTTGCCTCGGGAATTTCTTATCGGGTTGTACGGTAACAAAGAAATGTATTATGGTCTGACCGTATACGTGAATTTTCACTGTGTTACAAGTATGATTTAGGTTAATTGTATTTGACCCGTTGCAACTGAGATACTTCGAGATCAAGCGACTAATGTTTTGCGTTACGTGCAACTTGTCTACGGAGAGCAGGTGCACGAGGAAGTAGTAACGCGTACGATTATACCGCCGTGGTTCCCAGAGTCTGTAACACCAGGATGTTTTGTAAGCTTTTAATCTAGCTAAGACCAGTCCGGAGTCGCAAGAAATATTGTGGCCAGCGTTAATTAGCGGTACACATATGCTTCGTACAAATAAAGTGCATTAAATGCATCAAGCTATAGAAACGAAAATTAAGATACGAAAAGTATACTTCAGAAATTTATAATTTGATAAATATCGTTGTTACAGTTTCTCGTACCTTTAAACACAACAAACCCCCGACATTTCAACTATGCCATTCATAAAGTAAGAGAAAGACCCGAAGAGTTCACGAGTCGAAGTTGTCGGTAAACGAAGTTGTAAAGAGAAGTCGAGTCCCAGTGGTTCGGTACCGTGAAATCAGTATGTTCGGATTAAATTTCGATGAAACAGCCGAGTAGAAAAGTCCGTGCCATAGGCATGTCTCGAAGGTCGATGCACAAAGAGTACGGTTCGATATGGCATATCGGAAAAGGAATACCGGGTAACTCGAACGTTAGGTTTCCCGGGTAGTTTCGCTGCAAATGGACTTCTCTTTAAAAATTGAACGAAAAAGATCTCTGCGAGGCTCGGAGAGAACAAATAATGAAAAAGGAACGTCGATGACTCTCCTGTTCCCTTCGGTTCGATAATCACTTATCCTCGAAAGCTTCTAGCATCAATCTTAACCGATCGATCCATAATTCTGTACGTATTTACTTTCCATGGATGCTTTCTCTTTGACGCGTCTACCTCGACGCTATGCAACATTTAGCAGCACTTCTACGATCTTTCAATCCCTTCTCCGTAATTCCAACGGATTCCCATGACACTCACATCAGTCTCGTAACGTTTTTACACGAATTTGCTCTGCTAGATGCTTTGACAGACGATAGATTTTCATGAATTTGATTGTCACACGTGTCATATCGCATTGAGTGCAGTAAGAGCCGTGAGAAAACCTTGCACTTCTCACGTAAGATCTTTAGAAACAAATGAAGCGTCAAAATATTCCATGTCGGAGGGTTAACAAACTCAAGATTCCTCTTGAAACTTGTTTCACTTGTACGCGAAGGCAAACACAATTTCCCTGGCTGTTACATTCTTGATTCCATTGTTCCAAAGATTCGAGACAACAGCGGTTCCGGGGAGGGCTAACAAATTCACCGACCCCAAAGAAATTGCAACTTCATATTCATCCAGAATCCGCTTGCGTCGAGCTTCTTCTTTCGGTGAAAATTCCAAGCCCCTGTTAGGGGGAGAGAGGGAGAGCTCGAGAGGAAAATCGATTCCAAGAAGCAAACGACGAGCAGCGTAAACACGAGCACCGTGAAGGATCTATTCAAGCAAGGATCACCTACGTGCGCGACGTACAAGCCGGGTGCATTTATGCAAAGCCGTCGTCGTCCGTCGAACATCCTTGTCGACGAGGAAAGCGATCCCCGAAAAGGGTTCGCCGAATGAATGGATGCCTCAAAGAAGCGCGCTGTTTTCGAGCGTCGCTACTTTCCGCTTCTGTTTGCCGCGGAGACCAGCCCGGAAATAGTAAACGGGTAGATGTTTGAATTCGCCCACGTGTTGGCCGCATGACGTCACCACGACCGTGTGGGCGTCGCGAACGAGCTGGATGGATTGGAAAGGCTGCCGCTGGAACGAAGGGGGAAAATGTGGATGGAAAATCATTTCTGAAAGATCTAAGAATGAAAGGAGACTAAAGATAGAAAAAATAGTGCCGAAACTTGGGCTGAAGAATACCTCCTTAGTTTACACTTGCACCTTTATCTCCGTAAATTAAACTCGAATTAAATGGACTCGATTGACGGAGTAGAAAGAACTCGACACGCAAAGTTAGAAAAAACGAAGTTTGATCTTGTAGGCCAAGATATAACTATGTTAAAAGATAAGAGTTTACACGGATAACTGTGTCAAAAGGTAAAAATTTGCACGGCTAACTGTGTCAGAAGATGAAAGTTTGCGCGGATAAAATGAACGCAAGAATAAAAAGGTACATAAATGGTAAGGAAAGATACAGCGGGGAGGGGAAGGCAAGAGGATAGCAAGAATCAATGCAACGACGAGACCGAGGGAGGGCAGAACCCGAGAATTCCCGCAGGATACCATACGATACTCCTCGATACACGATCATGAAGATCCGATCAAGGACTTAACGGCTGCGAGGATAGCTAGGATGCCGATCAGGAGTCCACGCGTGTCTGGCCGAGTCGATACTCGACAAGAGGATTGGAAAAATTGGAAGGAAATTCACTGGTAAAGATTTTCCAGCGAATAAAAAGCACGATCTAAACTCCCGTGTTTCCTCGGAAGCTCTTTACGAGATATATAGATTAAAAATATACTCGACAACGGTAGACATATTCTCCGCATCTTGATGAGGATAAATAGCCATTCTTTTAATCTTGAAACTTTGGAAGAAAAACAGAGTGTACAAGTCGCTTAGAAATTTGAGAAAAGCCATTTTGTCGGAAGCAAAGAGCGGGTCGCTAGTGTCGAAGAAAGAAGAACGTTAATGGGAAGTGAGCGAAGACGAACGAGGACACACGGATGCGCTACAAGGAGAGATGCTGTAGAGAAGCTTCTCCCTCTCTCGCGATGATGATGATGATGCGCACCTCGATGAATCGGTTCACGGTTCGCCGATCTCATCGCTAATCAAGCATGAGCCATGTACGCGCATTCTCTCGACTTCGGCCGCTCCTCGAAACCGAAAGCTCGAATGCGTCGCATAAAAAGCATCGGGTTGTGTGTCGAGTGATTCTCTGGAACACAGGGGAACGCGTACGCTGGTAGAACGAGGCGGATCCAGCTAACGTTGGTAACCTAAATTTACTCATTAGCCAAGGAGGAACCCGGTTACGCTTCCACTCGCGCCGGCGCCTTCGCGATAACGCGTTATCGCTTTTCATCCACCACCCCATTCGAGGCGATCTGCCCGCGCGGAGCAGACCTACTTTCCCATTTCAAACATTCCATTCACGCGGATATTCTTTCCGTTCCAGCTTCGAACGGGCCAACAGAGAACCACTAATCTGGCCGAAATTTCAATTCTAATTTCAACCTGTCGATTGTGGAGGCGTTCGAGCTCAGGATGGACACTTAAGTAGAGATTAACTCGAACACAAGTAAGGACCTCTTAGTCTTCTCTCGTCCCGCATTAACCTTTTCTAGAGAATACAAATTTTTTGAGGTCAAAGATTCCGAGATTTCAATCGGATATCGTTTGTTCCTATCTGGTTCTCCTAGCAAAAATTATGACTACTACGAGGGTGCAGCTTCTGGCCTCGTGATTTACTAGAACGAGCTCCTCTAGCCAAGGGTGGGTGGAGCTTTGTTAATCGCTTTGTAAACACGCGCGTACGTAGGGTTTAGCGAGAAACTTTTTAGACTGCATGAGCATCGGATCGGTCGATTACACTTTCCTTCGTCGGCTCGCCTGTAAATATCGCGATACAGGTGCACACGTTCTCCGTAAACCAATTGTCCAGTGACACGGAAAGCCTGTGGCTCTCTTCTCGTGCAACGAGTTTCAAGGGCAAAGCTGACCCTACCGGTCAGCTAGCTCCCGCAACGTCTTCGTCCTAGCCGATCCTTCGGCTTCATCGTTTACAATTTAAACGCAGAACTTAAAGTAGAAACGCTGTTCAATTTACGCGACTCCGATGTGACATTTTGAGGAAGTAACTTTTAATAATTTTTATAGCTTAAAAATTATATAGAAACTTAAAAGGTGTAACAAATTTCTATAAAAAGTTGTAATCACGTCACTTCCTCTTAAGCGACCTCATTTAATCGCGACTCGAATCGAACAATAAAAAGAATGCAAGTAAATAAAAACTCATACTTACAGAAAGAAAGATCGGTATAGCTTCGAAAAGAAAAACTGTGTAGTACGATCGAGAAAAACGATTATCCGCGACCAGTTACGCGAACGAGTAATCGATTCGCGAGATAGTTGTCCGCCGACGTTTTTTTTAAGTTAGAGAACAGAGAAGTAAAAATGGCGATCTGCCCGCGCGGAGCAGACCTACTTTCCCATTTCAAACATTCCATTCACGCGGATATTCTTTCCGTTCCAGCTTCGAACGGGCCAACAGAGAACCACTAATCTGGCCGAAATTTCAATTCTAATTTCAACCTGTCGATTGTGGAGGCGTTCGAGCTCAGGATGGACACTTAAGTAGAGATTAACTCGAACACAAGTAAGGACCTCTTAGTCTTCTCTCGTCCCGCATTAACCTTTTCTAGAGAATACAAATTTTTTGAGGTCAAAGATTCCGAGATTTCAATCGGATATCGTTTGTTCCTATCTGGTTCTCCTAGCAAAAATTATGACTACTACGAGGGTGCAGCTTCTGGCCTCGTGATTTACTAGAACGAGCTCCTCTAGCCAAGGGTGGGTGGAGCTTTGTTAATCGCTTTGTAAACACGCGCGTACGTAGGGTTTAGCGAGAAACTTTTTAGACTGCATGAGCATCGGATCGGTCGATTACACTTTCCTTCGTCGGCTCGCCTGTAAATATCGCGATACAGGTGCACACGTTCTCCGTAAACCAATTGTCCAGTGACACGGAAAGCCTGTGGCTCTCTTCTCGTGCAACGAGTTTCAAGGGCAAAGCTGACCCTACCGGTCAGCTAGCTCCCGCAACGTCTTCGTCCTAGCCGATCCTTCGGCTTCATCGTTTACAATTTAAACGCAGAACTTAAAGTAGAAACGCTGTTCAATTTACGCGACTCCGATGTGACATTTTGAGGAAGTAACTTTTAATAATTTTTATAGCTTAAAAATTATATAGAAACTTAAAAGGTGTAACAAATTTCTATAAAAAGTTGTAATCACGTCACTTCCTCTTAAGCGACCTCATTTAATCGCGACTCGAATCGAACAATAAAAAGAATGCAAGTAAATAAAAACTCATACTTACAGAAAGAAAGATCGGTATAGCTTCGAAAAGAAAAACTGTGTAGTACGATCGAGAAAAACGATTATCCGCGACCAGTTACGCGAACGAGTAATCGATTCGCGAGATAGTTGTCCGCCGACGTTTTTTTTAAGTTAGAGAACAGAGAAGTAAAAATGGAACATGGACTCACCCTTCTCGGACTCGTCAGGCTCGTCGCTGGCACACTCGGGTGTGCTTCGTTCTTCCTCGCTGCTGCTGAAGCTTCTTTGAGGCTGAAGACCACCCTGTCCACCCACCGGTTGTGGGGGATGCGCGCTCTGCGTTTGATGCACCGAATGTTGCTGAGGAGGATGCACCGCGCTACGTGGTGGACCGGCTTCTACCGTTGGCTGACCATATGTCATCGCGAGATCCGTATTCTGATCCTGAAAGCCAGAGGATCCATGTTTCATGAACATGGTAAAAGCGTCAGCCTGCTGGGACCTTAGTCGCTGAAAGAGGAATCCCGAATTGCTTATGGGATTAGGTGCACTTTCCTCTGTGACGACGTTCGAATCGGTCTTCAAGCTCTTTTAAGTTTTGTCGTATTTTATATTAAAATGTAACGAAACTTTTGATTCAAGTTTTTCAGGATTCAAAATTTTCTTGCATATTGATGTAGACATTCTTCATCTACATTATTGATGTAGACGTTCTTTGAGTTTTTAAAAAATATGAGGAGCTAACTCATGTATTTTTATCGATACCAAATTTTTAAACAGCCCACGTTATATCAAAGAGGATAACCTTCTAATGTTCGAATCGGTCTTCAAGCTGTTTTAAGTTTTGTCGTATTTAATATTAAAATGTAACGAAACTTTTGATTCAAGATTTTCTTGCATTTTAATGTAGACATTCTTTATCTACATTATTCATATAGACGTTCTTTGAGTTTTTAAAAAATATGATGAGCTAACTCATGTATTTTTATCGACAGCGAATTTTTTAAACAGCCCATGTTATTTCAAAGAGGATAACCTAACGTTCAATCATTTATATCAGTCTAAAAAAATAATCTCCAAGAATAAATCAGAAAAAATGACAAAGTCTTTTAAAGCGAAAAACTCTGTACGTTTCGCTAACGTATCCTCCCGAAGCTACTCGTCTAGAGATCCCTCGAGCACCGCCTACGTAAGAATATCGTTAGCGGTTCGCTCCTACGCGTTCGCAGCTCGTATACTTGTTGAATGTTTAATTTCCAAGTCTCTCTCGAGTGCTAACGTCATTGGACACGCTTCGATCCGAAAGGACTCACCGAATAGATCGGTCGTTGTCTCTGGTAGTTGAGCTGTTTCATAAGACCGTCGATCTCGCCTCTGTACAAACTCGGGTCATCCTCGGCGTACGCGTCCGGATGTCTCGGCGCTTGTTGAATTTGATGAGAAGGAGCTACGTGTGGCGTTGGCAAACTTCTCGCGTGAGGCGATACGGACATATCCACCCCGCTATCGCTGGTGGACAATCGACGCCCTGGACCCTGAAATCGCCACGAAAACTTCCATTTCTTGCACGTACGACAAACACTACGATGCAGTGGTTCTCAATATGAAATGTACCAATGTTCACTGAAATGACTCACAACGATGTGAACTTGATATGAGAATTTGTGACTATTGATCTTGAATGCGATTTCGACTTTAAACTCTAAATGATATGAAGAGCTTGAGAACCACTGTGGTAAGATTCGGGTTGTGGCGTGTGGTGATTGCAGTGACAGATGCAGACAAAGTGCGATCGTTGCGTTGTTTCATCAGCATGTGGTGATATGATGCAATTGGAGGTGTGTGTACCTTTGGACAAGCCGCTGAGCACAGTCGATGCGTACAAAAGCACGAGGCAACATAGAGTCTATTAAATATTCGTTAAGGAACTTTGCTCCGAATTAAACTTTGGCAGAGTTGCGAAAGGGAGATGGAAAGGAAGAGTTCTCTTCGGAGACCTACTGGTAGAATCTTGACTGTGAACTATTCATTGTGGACGGGTCCACACTAGTGCGTAAGTGTCCACATTACGTAGGAGTACGTTAGTGGACACATGTACTACCGCTAATACATTGATGCAATAAAAAGTCTCTATAGTATACCAACGCTAGGGTATACCTACATTCTCATACATAGGCTAGTCCTCTTATCAGGTATTTACAGATATGTGTGATTTGATGAGGAAAACCTGTATTCTTGATAAGATTTTGTGTGAAATGGAGGGAATGAAAACTAGAGAGGAAACCTCCGAAGAGAAGAATGAAAATGGCCGGCAAAATACGCGGATTGTCCAAAGCTACGACAGCGAGGGTCCATGACAAATGATATAAAATGGTGTGATGCACAGTGAGGATTATACCAAAAACATCGACTTGCCTCGACCGAATTCGTTAGCGTAGCAGTTTTGCAGCTTGTATTGTCATTTATTTGCACATCCAGAGCAACAGTGCGTGCACGAGCGCTATTAACGACCCCAGGGACCTAGCCTAGGTCCCCGCGGTTCGAACAGTAAGTGAATGAAGTAAATCGTACTTGCTCTTGCTGAGAGTACTGTCTTCTGAGCAGACTTCCGCTCCTTAGTAACAATGGCAAATTCTCCTTTTCGGCCGCGCTGTGCGCTCTCTCGAGTTTCGGTCTTTTATCCTGAGTTTGGTCCACGAGTCCCGGAGGACCACCCACCTGCATGTCCTGCATCCGTCGCAGCATCGCGTTGTCCCCGGTTGCCAGGCCCGTCTTCGTCATCCATTGTCCGGTCTTCGACAGCAGTTCTTGCTTCTTGCGACAAAGGATGCACACCCATATTACCTGAAATCACCATCGATCGCCACCTTGATTATCGCCATTGTATCAAGGAAGGCTCTGGAATCTCAAAGGTTTAAGGATTCGATCTTGATGAGCTCGAGAAAGCCGAGGACTTTGTACCTCGCAAAATCGATCGTTGTTAATTATAACTGGATCAGCTACTTCATATCGAGATTCCGAATGCAACTTCTTTCGACGGATATTAGGGTTGAAATTAATATACATAACGTAAGTACCGAGTTGACCTGCAGGAACTTAAGAGGGAATTTTGAGATTTGATCGACGTTAAAAGAGATCTCGTTACGCGTTAAATCGTCGCAGTAACTAAAATAATCCATAGCACCGCAGAAGAGAGAACGAGAGAGAAGGGCGAGGAGAGGGAAAGAGTCCTGGAACTGATCGATCCAGGTCACCGCTTGTAGCGAGGATATTAATAGGAAATTATCTATAGGAAGTCGACCAGTTACCACGCTAATTGAAACGTGTAAGCATAGGTGCAAGCTTCAATTTGCAGTTCTTAAAAACGCGCGTACTCGCGTCGACGAGTAGGTCGCGCGGCTCGTTCCGGACGACACCGTTTCACGCTCGGCGTATTTGTCGAACAGGATTGCTGGAACGAGGTACCGCGTTAAAAATACACGCCACCCAGAAGGGACAACGAGCCGAGAAGTTGATTCGTCGAGCAATTTTCCCGGGAAATGTGGAAAACTCGCCTCTTGTTCTACCAACAAAAATTACAAATAACTCTTCTGTAACACCCAGTGTAGTGACGTAACTAGTATTATCTACACAGTGAAATAATATACTAAGAGAGCTCTGTTGAGAGTTCTTTTTAAGGACAATACCCGCACAGGACAAACGAATGTCATTTTATTATTAAACGCAGAAAGGAAATTTCCCTGGAATCGATACGAAATCGCAGTTTGGGAAACATTGAAACAAATAGAACGAACCCCTCGAAGCCTTGGGAAGGGACGAACCGTTGATGAAAGAGAAATTTATCAAAGAAGATGAAAAGTGTGTCCATCGTAAGCAGAAGCTACGAAGTGCAAAAAATATCGGTCGTCTAAAGGTCGACAGGTTTTAATCCCGTTGACTTTGCGACGCTGAAAGCTGCCTCTCGTAATTCAACAGCGTTCAGAATCGTCCCTGTGTCCTTGCTCGCGACCATTGTAGTTCGTACAATAATACGCACGAATGGGCATGGAAAGTGTTATCGATGGGAACCGGCATGGGCATTGTTTTATGGTTTGTTTCTAAATGGTCCATCCATCACGCTTTATCTTGATGGAGTATTCCGTCCGCCTATTCATCCTTCAAAACGCTCCACGGCTCGCTAATTATTAGCCATAGCGTTCATTGTACGGGTCGTCCGATGAATAATCACCTCCAAGAATACGCTTTTCCCTTAACTTTGACTGTTTCTCGAAGTTTGTTCGATTCGAGTACTCGCGAGAGGAACAATGCCGGTATCGTTCAATATCGGTGTAACCAACAATTTCGCGATTCAAACTCTGGATATTCTTGTTCGTTACAACGTCGTTGCACCAGCTAGCGCAACTACTGACTACTCAATATTTCACTAGACTATTCAACGTCTCACTTAATTTTACTTATTTCACGATTTTCGATATTGGACTTGCTGAGATTTAATTACTCAACCTTAACCAACTACCCCAGTAATATTACAATATTCAAAGCAACAAAAAATTTGAATTGTTCTATTCACATTCTTTAATCGAATATACCTCTGCCAATTTGCCAAAAAATACGGGAGTCGGCGGCACGAAAAGTTTGTGGAAAACGGTGTTCTATTTGATCGATAAACGGAACTCGGTCAAAATCACTGAACCCAGTTAACGTGGGACAAGTGGAACGTAGCAAATTTTTTCTCCATTCTCTCGGAGTAAGTTTCGAGTAACGTCAGGCAATTACGGAAGAACGAAAGCGGAGGTCCAGGGACGGCTCGTTCGCGGGTGAATATCGCGATGAATCGATACGTTCGGTCACGCCAGCGTTTGCACAATTATCGTTGCCCATTATCATTACTCGATGAAACCAATCCCGACCCACGAGCCCGTATTCCGCTAATCCGCGAACCGAGGACACCGTTGCAAATGAATACGTGTTTGCTCGCGTTAGGCAACGCGAATCAGCTGCGATTTAACGCAGACCGTGAAGCTGTTTTGCTCTTGCTCGAGGAGCAATCGAGCGGATAAGGGTTGCTTCAGAGGCAAATTAAGGAGGAATAACCTTTCGCTAGTTCGGAAAAATCGATTGTTTTTTGTCTACGTGACTTTGAAGTATTAGGGATACGAACTTTGTGTCATCTGTATTTTAATATTCTTCAGAAACACTCGCTTCAATTTTGCAAATATTAACAGCCTACAGAAATTAACAGCCTAACGATTTCCATAAAATAATCTTTGTAGATGATAAACTGGTTCCCGATTTGATCGACGAATTTTGACGATCGTACTCTTAGATTTTGTTAAGAGTAGCAAGGAATAAATACCTGAAGAGTATGTACGCAGATGGAGGATAACGTGAAACGAATCACTAGCACTGTTTCATATTTGCACTCATTTCTGACACCTTTACGATCACATTTGAGATTTCCGTTCCCGAGAGCGAATTTTTCTTCTCCGCGCGCTGCCAGAAACGGCCATTTGGATGTGTCCAACGACCGCCATCGTCGATCCAACGGTGGCTCGTTCCTCGGTCGTCCCAGTTTTTCAAACGCGAATTTATTTTTACCTTCTCGGCAGCGCCGCGCTTAATAAGTGAACAGTTTCCGATGAAAGGAGGGTTTCCTTTGTCGAAAACGCTTTTCCACGGCCGAGCGTAATTATTTCATGGCTGTAACGCGATTCGGCGATGCAGGTCCTCGCAGAAACGTTAAAAATATCCAACATCGGGCGCGCCTTCGAGAGCTTCCATCGTCTCGTTCAATCACGAGATTAGAGGGTCGAAACGAACCCCGGGAGTATACGAAGTTGCTTTTTTGCAAGCGGAAAAACTCGCGAAGATGATTCTCGATCGACGGAACGAACGCGTGCACGTTTTTCTCCCTTTTCCGTCGAGAGACTTGCAACGTCGACCGAACCTCGCTGCAGACTGCTGGTGGCCCGGCCGTGGAACAGAGAATGCACCGAACAAGAAAGGGTGAAAAAAAAAATGGTAGGAAGAAAGAACGAACGAGTAGAGCCGAGAGGGGTAAGGAAGGGTACGCGAGAAACGAAGCAGGAAAGACAGGAGGAGGCAGAGGGAGGCTGAAGAGCACTTCGTCGAGTTGCCTAGGTAGCAATATGTCAAGAGCTCAACCCCTTTCCACCCAGCCTCGTTCATCCCCCTTGCTAGGCGGCACCCTTTTCGCCCACCCACCGAACATTTCGTACGTACCTACGTACGTGTGTACACTCGCGTCCAGAAGTCATGGGATACCTTATTATTTTCGGATAAATCTAGGTTACGAATATTCCGTTTATTCCTAGTCGCCGACAGTTTTGTGTTCATGGACGGTAATGATCGCAACGACCATCTATCGAGCACTTCGATACTCGATGCCTCACGATTCAACGCTTAACTGCTCGATGATCGAATACTCGACGCCTGACTGCTCTATGTTCCAGAACTCGATGCCTGACTATTCGAGACCTTACCACTCGACGTTCTGCTAGTCGACGCGTGAATAATCAACACGTGACCACGTGACTCTTGTCTACTGACACTTGGCTACCACGTGTCACCAACTGATCGACAAACTAATACGTCGTGACTCGTGGTCCGAGTACTCGAGTACTCGATACACGATCATGTAGCTACTCTTTACAGCAACTGCTGGAAGGGTGAACGTTTATTCGAAATTCGACTACTAAACACCTAACTACCTACGCTACAGTGTGAACGTGGAGCTGAAAATAGTAAATGCCCCATGATTTATGAACAAGCGTGTACAAACGTACGTAGGTACGTATGTACGTGTGCGCTATTTTGCTCAGCCTAAAAAGAGAAAAACGTTGGTTACTGGTGTCGCTGGTGGTGGCGGTGGTGGTGGAAGGGTAGAGAGAAGGGGTTGGCCCTCGAGTCATCTCACCCCTCCTTCGCAAAGCCGGCCAAGGGTGGTGAACCAAGGGAACGAGAACACGGCGCTGCGTGTTCGGCCGTAACGTAAATGATCATTAGTTTGGCGGCTCGAAGCGAGTTGGCTCGGTGATTTGCATTAATTAATTAGAGGCCAATTAATTCAGATTACTTTATCACGGGCCCATGTGTACGCAGTCAGTGTCAACGGCGACGACGACGCCGCTGTCCGAGACCAGACAATGACGACGGCATAGAACATCGGCATGGACGTTGACGTCCCGTTGCCTCGAGTACAGAAACGAAGGGATCGATAGGCTCGTTCAAGCCAATCCGATAACTCGCCACGACGCCAGTAAATGTACTCTATAGCCGCCAGAAAAGCTAGCGACGAATTATCGCTTCGGTCGATTGAACGGTTCGTCTTTTAATATATTCGATGCGCGTCGAATATTCATGCATTAAGTACTCGTTTGCGTCGAGTACACGCGGAGTACTCGCGCGGTAAATATTCACACGTCGAGTACTCGTCTGCCAAGTATTCACGCGTGCACCTCGAGTCCTTACGAATCAGACACATACGTCGAGTCACTGAAGTATTCAATGACCAAGCTGTATAAAAGCAACTGCGTTGTGCCACTTAACATTAACCCTTTGCGCTCGGGAGGTGACTCTCAGTCGCCATTTTATTTAATACAACAATTCGAAATAACTATTTTTTAACGCTAAACCTACCGATACATAATGTGTACTTAATTTGAAATTAAAAATGAAGTTAAAAAATAAATAAACAAACGACGAAACATAAATTAGTACACACATTTGTTCTTTACCTTGATGAAAATCAATGCTGATTTCAAAGAATGTACTTTAACAAAATGTGTACCTTATAAAAAGAAACTTGTGGACCGGTCGTTTGA